CCTTTAAAAACATATGAGACGCAGTGAAAAGGAATAAACCTCCACAAATTCGTGACGTGTTTTCTAAAAGTTTAAACTGTTTTAACTTTGCATGGCTTTCTATACATCTCTTGTGTGACGCGAGTGCAGTAGTCAAATTTGTCCGTCTAGAAAATGCGCTGAATATGTGTTCTGTGTGAATGGCTTGGTTTCGGTTTTAACCTAATCAAGATATATTTTTTTTATATATCGAATATTTATTTTATATATAGAATTTATATATATTTATATATTCTATATTTCTCTAATATTTTGAATGAATAACACAGCAACTGTGCTTTTCGTGGGCTAGACTAACAAAATATTAAAATACAACGTCACTTACATCATCATCACCGCATCTCGTGCTCCACTGATGACGCTCCGACGCACTCCTAACATTCGATTGTACTATTTTTGCATTCAAATGCAAATGTTTATTTTAAATTCAACTAATATTCATTTTTTTTATTCACAATCTCCTCATCACAGACAGGCACAGCACTCATCTTCGTGTATGTGTGTGCTGTCTGCGTCACTCAGAGCATCGTGCACTATATCGAACATTTTTTACATCGTTATCGAAGGTGTACCGTCGATAAATATCGATACCATTTTATCGCCCAGGCCTATTTGGTACAAAAGGAAATTTATTTTTTCATTTATTTTGAACAGACAGTAGTGCTACACACACATGTACTGTAGCATGAGCAGTTGTTTTTGAATTAGATAGTATCATTTCAAGCAAAAACAGAATGGTCTGACTTTAGATTTGTGAAATTATGCTACATAAGACACCTGCACAAAACAAAAACAGCAGATGGACTGAATGAAAATGCAGGTGGATCTTATAGAACAGCAGCGATATAGTTTCCTTGGTTACCACTGTAAACAAAGCAGCTGCACTTATAAACACTACTTTAATATGCATTATATGGAGGTAAGAGGAAAAGAAAATGCCATCAAAACATTCATATAAACCCCCACATATTTGTCCTATATACCCATCCTATATATCGAGCATCGTGAACAGTGAGCTTGATCTGCTTGGTACAGTGTTTTCTCCTCTTTACAGACTTTTTAGAAATTCCACACAAATTACATTTTGGGAAATGATTGTAATGCAGTTTGTGTGCCATTATTGAATAAAGATCAGCCAAAATACAATTAAAAACTGGTTATGATAAATTGCCAGTTGACCAGTGCATCTCTAGAATCAGACGGTTCTTCGAGCTCTTGCGTGCCATCTAAACTCGCTGTTCTTGTTTTGGGTTGGTGCGTAGATCGTCTCATTCTTCTGCTCTTTCTTGTTGTGACGGTTCCTGTTCTGTTCATCTGACTGCATGAACCAAACCGTGACATCCGTACCGTGACAGATCGTGACAAATACATGTACCGTTACACCCATACATGAAATCATTACCAACTTAATTTCAAAACTTTGGGGTCAGTAAGATTTTTTTTTTTTTTTAAGAAATTAATACTTTTATTCAGCAAGGATGCATTAAATTTATCAAAAGAGACACTAAAGATATTTATAATAGTAAACATTTTTTTTTTATTTCAAATAAATGTTAATACATTTCCTATTTCAAAATCAAAAAATCCTGAAAAAAAATGTATTCCAGTATTACAGTTTCCAGAAAAAATTTTAAGCAACAACTGTTCAATCACAACTGTCATAATAATAAGAAATGTTTTTTGAACACCAAATCAGCATATTAGAATGATTTCTGAAGGATCATGTGACACTGAAGATTAGAGAAGTGGCTGCTAAAACATTCAGATTTGGCATTACAGAAAAAGTAAAACTGCAAAATATATATTAAAATACAAAGTTGTAAAATGTAAGAATATTTTACAATATTACTGTTTAAACTGTGTTTTTGTGAAATCAATAAAATCTTACCAACCCCAAACTTTTGAACAGAAGTGTACTTGGTGCACATCATTAAAATAGTAACACTAAACTAAACAAATTTTTCACAATACAATATATTTATGATGGATAAAATCAAGTCCCGCCCAACATTTTTGTCTTGTTCAATGTACTGTTTCAATACCAGATCATGGAAGAAAAATGGGTTGTGAATGGCATTTATTGTTGACTTTAAATACACAGTATAGCTGGGTTTAAAGTACTACAATTAATTTGAGAATTCAGTGGACACCAATATTCACAAATAAGACCACAAAATAAATCCACACTGTCACTGCCACTGACTCTCTTCCCATTATCACAGTCCACCATCCATGCTGCATCTAATCAAGTTCTTCAGCTAAAAGCTCAGCAATTTAGAGTTTGTGTCTTAAAAGAGAAATTCTATCTAATAAAAAAGCTGTATGCAAATAGGAAAACCAAGAAGGGGAATGTGGGGAAACAAATTTGAAGAAGAGCGCGGAAAAGACTTCATATAAAAGTAAGTGTATGAGGTTTAGGCTCGAGTCAAGTGTATATTTAGTGGTAGCAGAATGAAACATGACATACCCTTGTAAAATCAATTGAAATAAATGCAAAGATTGAAGCTGTCATGTTACAAAGGAAAGGCCCATTAATCCAGTTCTGAATGGAATCAAGCCACGTGATAAGCATAAGCATGTTATTTATTGTTAACACTGAAACATGCTGGTCAGTTTGAAACTAATGTCTGAAATATTGTGAGAGGAACTGCCCACCCACCTTCAGGTCTGTACTGAGCCACGATGGTGACAGTCTGTCCAGCATTCTTAAGTGCTGCAGCTGCCTGTTCGTGCGTTGCACTGCGGAGGTCCACCCCATTTACCTGCAGCATACATACAATATTAATGACGTGTATCATAAATAAGCACTGATGCAAAATGCAGTCAGTGGGGTCCAACAGTCTGAGAATGCATGGAAAATTCAGAATGTAAAATCTACTATACACCTGGAAAAAAAAACATTAAACTTTGCTGATTGAGTGCTGCTGTAATTAAAAAGAGAAATATACAAAGACATTCTGAAATTTACTGAAATTTCAAATCAATGTTTCTCAATGAAATGGTTATGCTGATAATGCCAAAGCATTGTTTCAGTAACATTGAAAAATGATTTACAATAAACAATTGTTGATGACTGAACAACTTTTTTTAACTGAAAAAAGAACAACATCTGTTCAACAATAATGCAATGTTCTTACAGAGATGATACGGTCTCCTTTCCTTAATTCTCCACACAGGTCTGCAGGTCCTCCTGCTAATATGAATGAGATGAAGATTCCCTCTCCATCCTCTCCTCCTACAATGTTGAAGCCTAGTCCTGTGGTGCCCCGATGCAGGACTATTTTCCTAGGCTCCCTAAAAACCAAGACCAGCATTTATTAGTTGATTTGAGTGAACAGGCCAGGAAAGCATGCTTACAAAAAAAAAAAAAACTACTGTACACACACCAAACTAAAACGGAAACTATTCAAAACTGCTTTCGGTTATTTCAGTTTTTTTTTTTTTTGTATAGATAAAGTGTAACTGTATAACTTCATCAAGTTACAATGAGGGGAAAAAACTGAAAAACAAAAAAAGATAGGCTAATAAACTAATAAAATAAAATAGAAAGTAAAAAAAAACCCTTAAACTTATAAGAGAATTAGAAATGTTCCCTTGGCTATTAACTAAAATAAGTTTAATTGAATTAAATCTACTAAAACTAAAAGTCAAATAAAAATAAAGCTAAACAGAAATATTTATAAATATATATTTAAAAAATAATTTTAATTTATTTTTATAACTGGACTCAAATTTCAATTAAAAATTAAACCAATATGTCCTTACATAAAATAAAATAAAATAAAAATTAAAAAATACATTTCACTGCATCTCCCTCTAGTAAACAAAATATTAACTACACAAGAGAGGTAATAACTGAATTCAAAATAAACCAATATGTGTGTATATTGCTATGACAGCAACATCCCCTTATATTATTATTTCCCATCTCAGAAATAAAAAAATAAATAAAATAATAATAATAATAAAAAAATCGAATACATTTGACAGCACCTCCCTCTAGTGAACAAAATATGAACTACAGAGAGGTACATGCTCTTAGGCAGGGGTGTCCAAACTCAGTCCTGGAGGGCCGGTGTCCTGCAGAATTTAGCTCCAACCCTAATTAAACACACCTGAACCACCTAATCAAGCTCTTACTAGGCATAGAAACTTCCAGTCAGGTGTAGTTGAGGCAAGTTGGAGCTAAACTCTGCAGGACACCGGCCCTCCAGGACCGAGTTTGGACAGCCCTGTACTAGAAACTTCGTGGCAGGTGTAGTTGAGGCAAGTTGGAGCTAAACTCTGCAGGACACCGGCCCTCCAGGACTGAGTTTGGGCACCCCTGCTCTTAGAACAGTTTGTAAGGGCTGCATCCCATTTTTCATGTTTGAGTACATCTAGAGGTCTGTAGATGGCAGCACAGCCTCAAGTTACTGGCTCTGTAGCATTTCAGTGTTTTCAAAACAAACCCTCACTCAACATGGCTACGGGTGCATCATTTAACCTTAACACACTTCAAGAACAAAGGTTTAGCAGAGCATCATGACATAAGAACATTTACATATATTTCAGTTATAAAACAATGTTTTTTTTATCACGGCCTGTAGAATTAAGTATTAATTCAAAGCTTATCAGATTTGCCAAAATTGACTTCAAAGATTGGTTGGTCATTTCATGACGCTAGCTAATGACGCAAGAGGCTGTTTTGGTGAATTCTTCCGATAGGAAACAAATACTCCCGATTAAAGAGGATTAAATATGGTAAAGCACACCAGTCAGTGTATGCGTGTGTGTCCTTGTTACAAGTCCACATTTCTCTACCAGACAAAATAAGGCGTGTCCGGCCAATATCATCTGCAGGCCAGCTCTCATAACATCGCTCGCAACTGACAAACAGCTCTTACAAAATGAGTAAACAAATCAGGTGAGCAAGAAGATGAACAGTCAACACTGATGCTATATCTTAAATGAGCCAATATCTTCAACAGCCCTCCGGAGGACATTTAAAACAAATGCTGTGAGCGAGCTGCCATATGTACCCAATGAATGTGTCCTTGTAAATGCTCTAAATGAGAGCTCCACCAGGGAACAACAGCAAACTTCCAAGGGGGCCTCAAAATATTGAAAATATAAGGGTAATATGGGTAAAGAAGCATTAAAATAAGTTAAAAATCAATAAAATAAATTACAAATCAAAGTATTTGTATTATTTATTTTAACCAGGGTCTCACCATCTGAATATATGAGGTAGCCTAATTTTAAAAATGTGATTTAAAGACCTGTAAATTAATAAAATATGAGAGAAATTTATACTTCAAACATGGATATGATGACATAATTATGTCTCAGCGGGTAAAAACCTATTATTTATTCTGAAATTAAGGGACTTTTTTATTATGAAATTGAATATATATATATATATATATATATATATATATATATATTATGGCTGTCAGTTTAACGCGTTAACAATTAATTAGTTACAAAAAAATAATGCGATTAAAATATTTTAAAGCAGTTACCACTGGCCCCGCCCCCAGACCTGTACATCATCTTACATTTCATACAGTTGACAAATATGATGCAGGGCAACAACTCCATAAATGCAGTTATGCCCTAAAATTCAAGATATTAGTGCAATAAATGCTCCTGTATATAATAATAATAATAATAATAATAATAAAAACATTAAAGGAATAGGCCTACCATTCATAAAGAGAGCCGTTTACTTCATTCCTGAATGAATCAGCCATTTGAACGAATCGACTGAAGACATTTACCGCCACCTCCTGGCAGATTTAGTTTCCTGTTTAGAGTATCATTTCATTAATAATAATAATAACAACAATAATAATAATAAAAACATTAAAGGGATAGTTCAGCCAAAAAATAAAAAATTCTGTCATCATTTACTCACTCTCATGTCGTTTCAAACCTTTCTTTTGTGGAACACAACATTTGTGAAGTTTTTGTTAACAATGACTTTCATTGTATGAACAAACAATACTGAGATGTATTTGATTCTCAAATGATCTTGTTCCATAGTTTATGTTAGGCCGTTGTAGCCTAAATGTTTATGTGCAATACAATTTTTTGTTGAATCAAATAAAATACTTCTAAAGCTACAATTTGTAATGTCTACTTGATACTTTCTCATTTAAAGGGGTCATATGATGTTGCTAAAAAGAACATTATTTTGTGTATTTGGAGTAATGACCGGTTTATTGAATCGAACTGTCCGAAAGAACCGGTTCGCGGAAAAGAACCGAACTTCCCATCACTACTCTCTGGCGCTCTCTCTCGCGCTCTCTCTCTCGCTCTCTCGAGTGCATGCTGGGAGTGAGTGGGCGGAGTGTGGTGAGTGTGGGTGAGAGTGGTAGCTGTCTGTGGCTGGTAAGAGTGTTTTTTAAAAACTTTTTTCCTTGTAAGTGTTTTGTTTTGTGTTTTTCCTTTTTTCTTTCCGTTGTATCTTTTGGGAGGATAGTCTGCTTCCAGCACTTTGCTGGAAAGCATGAAGACTCCAAACACGATGGCTTTTGAAAGTTTAC